CGGGCCTGGCCTAGGGAGGATTTTAAATTGGGTTTCTTAAGAGTAATTTTAAATAGCACAGCTTTAAATATTTGGTTTTAATTGGTTTTACTTGGGTGGGGTTGTAAATGTGTTTATGTTTTTTAATATGCTGTGAGCCGCCCTGAGTCCCGTTGGGAGAAGGGCGGGATATAAATCAAATAAAATAAATAAATAAATATTCAATTAAAAAGAGTAATTTCCATTATTTATATAATTCATAGTAATAAACCTAAAATATTAGTCCTGTATTCTATTCAGGGAGTAGACTCTACACTGGAAGAGTAGCAACCCAAAATGATGTTCTTAGTTGATAATATACTTGAAAGAAAAATTGCAATTTATAGATTTAATCATTATAACAATAGCTTTTGTGAAAGTGCAAAAAAAAAACCCACCCTTACATTAAATGACAATGTTGAGGCTGAGTATATTAGCCACATCTTTTATCAAGTACACTAAAGTGTTACAAATAATTAAGTTCGATAAGTAAATTTGACACATAGTCTTGCATGATTTTAAGCACAGAAAGGCAGACTACACTATCTCTTTCAAAACTACTTGACAGATTTTTCTGCTAATTTTCAGTATCCTATTTAATTTCAGCATTCTACTATATAATAATTTTTCATTCTTTTGATATATGTCATGTCAAAAGGATGCAATGTTTGGATATGCTGAGCTATTTCACACTTTTCTTAAGTTGTGATTGTACTCTTTTTTCTCCTTGAGCAGGGATGAAAACTCACTCAAACCAAACAGTTTGGAGGTTGCAAGTGCAGTTATGGAAAAGGTATGTCATTGGAAGGCACGGGACTGAATTTCCTTTTGATTTATTAAGGGAATCAAAAAGTGACATCCAAAATTGGCAGCACTATATATTTGTTTCCTAGAGCCTGTGCTACCTCCATCCTTATTTCTGAATAGGAGAAAAATCATGCCACCAAAACCTGGTTATTTTGCCACTGAAGTTTAGAGAGGAATGAAATTCATACTTTGCCTACTGCTGCATTTATTCCCATTTCCAGGACTCTTCAATATGGACAGGAAGTCCCAAGGTCTGTAAAATCAGTTAAAATAACCCGAGTATCATTTGTTCACCAATGTGCTGTTAAGGAACAAATCATACAGAATCACAGAGCTGGAAGGGATCTCAGAGGTCTTCTAGTCCAACCCCCTGCTCAAGGAAGGAACCTTATACCATCCCAGTCAAATGGTTGTTCAGTCTATTTTTGAAAACCTTCAGTGATGGAGCACCCACAATCCCAGAAGGCAAGCTATTCCACTGATTAATATTTGACTGGTTTCATACAACATGTTAAATCTTAACTCATTGTTTACAATACATTAAACCAAAATCAAACATTATTATGTTTAGCACAGTATTATGAACTCTTATCTCTATTTTGAAACCAAACTGTTTAAGATTGTAATCATTTTTATTATACCTTGAATTAAAGCCAGAAGTAAATTAAAACACAGAAATTATTTTAAAACTTGTGTTATACATATTCTACAAGCCATTCCTTTCCGCAATCTAGTTGGTATATTCCACATTTACTGCAGCCAGCATGTTTTCCTTAAAGAAAACCTGATAGATGTCTTGCAATAAAAGGGTGATAAGTTATGAATGCTTAGTCCTCTTTGAACATTCAAAATCCAGAGTGCTTACCTTATAAACATACATGTCTCACATAAACATCAGTCAAATGGTATCAGTTCCTTTCAGAAACAAAACCTCACATATGATATGGATGTAAGGATTTTTTATATGTAATATTCAATTATATGTAGATAGTCATCTACTTGCAACTGGTTGCTTAGTTACCATTCAAAGTTACAATGGAGCTCCCCCAAAGCTACTTAAAACCTGGTTTCAAAGTTACAACAACTGTATACACCTTTGCAGTTGTGCGATTGTATTTTGGAAGCTGTTCACCTTTATAGCTATCCTGCAGTCATATGACCATAATTTGTGACATTTTTTGCCGGTTTCAGGCAAAAAAAAAAAGCCCATTGGGTAAAATGGATTTGCTTAGCACCTCCTGCATTTGCTTAATGACCAATGCAAAAATTGCTGAACAATTGGGCCTGGTCATGTGATGTCTCAATGTATGAGGGCAACAACTTACAACTATAATTCTGGGCTCAATTACTATTGTAACTTGAAAACTACCTGTAGACGTTAATTTTTGCAACACACTATAGCTTTCTATACTGTGACATTAGCATTTCATACTATATGTACTTTGTTAAAAATGTTTCTGCAGTTGGATAACGTAGTGAATGAAGAACCATAAGTATGAGAAAATATACAATTATATTTTTACTGTGAAGGATAGAATAAAAAAACTATGCTTCCATTTAAAGCATTCCTCTGTATAAAAGTATAAAAAGTCCTATTAGTTTAGATACTAATTAAGATGTTAGATTACTCCAAAATCATGGATTAGGAAGTATATTAAGAACCAACCCAAACTGTAGTAATTCAATACTTTCTTTTATTCTTTCTATGGTACTGTTACAAAATTAATGAAAGTTTCAATAGTTTGAATGGCATTGGCTACTTTTCATGAAATAAATGTAATTAAAAATGCCCACCTTTGGCCAGAAATATAGTTTTACATTTACAAATTTATATACACGTGTAAACATTCACACTACCACCCCTCCCACAATCTTCCAATATTTGTAAGATCAACTTAGTAGTATAGCCACATCCCTCTCTACTTAGAAATAAATCTTATTATGGAGTTCTATGGAGATAGAATTACAGCTTTAATGTTTTATTTTTTGACTCTCTAAACAAAAATAATTATACATTCTTTAATTAATTCTATTCTGAGGGAAAGAATAAGTACACCAAAGGTTTA